TATACGTTCGTGACATGTATACATGACTAGATACAGCCTTTCCTATCTTTTCCTATTGTGATCAGTGATGAGGTGTCATTGTACAATGTTCTGCGCCATATTGAGAATTAAGACACTAGCACCTGCTAGCACCTTTGGGACATAAACTATTTACATGTCGCGTGAATCACTGATAAGTTATCATCAGAGAGATATCTTTAAAATCGGTCGATATAAGTATGCATGCGCATACTTTATATTTGTGCGAAGCATTTATATATAATATATATAATAAAAAAATCATGAATTTGATATTATCAAAATGTATTATCAAAATATTTACGTTGATAATTTATATCGATTGTCGATAATATCATCATTCTTCAATTATCCTCGGATTCTATTGATATACAGGATGTCCTAGAATAATACAAATATACAGAGTGATTCAGAACGACCCCCTGTCCTTGCAAAGACGTGTTCCTGACTGAATTCTGAGACGATTTTTCCTTTATGAAAATTTTATCTGACGCTTACTTTTTGAATTATTAAAAGATAAAGTTAGCACAGAAGGTAAGCAGGGGCGACGCACTCACCGTCCGACGCGAACGAACACGAGGGGCACTCATTGCGATCAAGGACATAGAGTTATTCTTTAATTAACATAAAGTGTGCTGGAGGTCGATTTTGTATCTCGAAACAAAGTGAAAATTACAAAAGTGAGCAAATTTACTAGGTACTGACCAATGAAATTATAAATGTTCTAGTAAATTCGCTCACATTTGCAATTTTCACCTTGTTTTAAGATACAGAATCAATCCCCTGATAAAACGCACTAAATTGGGTCAAAAAGTCCTCTACCGCGGCACACAAAATATTTGGCGGTCATTCTGGGACACCCTAAATAGACACGAGAAATTTTCCCAGGGCTGGCCATCTGTAACAACATCTCGTAGATGACACTTTCTATTGGAAAAAAAGTTCAATGGCGATATATAAATATGAAATAGGAGAAGAAATAACGCAGGAAAACATATCTTGATTCAAAATAACGGACAACATTCTAACAACAAGAATATTGAGAATAGTGAAGTTGGACTACTGCAGCATAAATAGTATATAAAAAAAATCTCGACTCTTTTCAAAATATATATCTCCAAAATATTCTCAGAATATCATGTAAGTATCTATCTGAGTTGTTTCATCCACAGAGCGCAAAAAGGAATAAGTAGTTATTATCTGATAAAAAAAAGAGATACGACTCTAGATTCAATAATATTTTCAGATAAATAAAAACAATACAAAATAAGTTACTTGCATAAAAATTTGGATTTAGAATCATTGCGCATTTTTTTCATTTTTAAAGAACAAACATATTTCAAAATGTAATAAAAAATGTTTTCTTGACGAACAATCTAGGCAAACAAAGAATTTTTGAACGACTTTGCAGTCCAAAGTGACTTTGGACGCGCGATCAGCGCAGGGCGCAGCTGATGAGTAGTGACGCAGGCAGGGAGGCAGGCAGCGGTCAGCGCGGCAGTTTGACTTACAAGTATTCGTAGCCATAGCGACCGCGAAGTATGGCCGATGGTCGCTCGATTAATAGTTTGTTGCGAATGACAGCTACGCAAGAAGGTAATCAAGATACGCGGAAAAGGGCCAGCCAAACCAAAAGTCTACCTCCGCTTTTCCTTCTGTGAGCATAATTCCATTATTATTTATGCTAGAACGATAAGAGTAAACAGAGAAGTCGTTCTATCAATTGTCTAGTACTGCCTCGATGACGTATGACTTTATAGCGTAAATCCGACTTTCACTCATTTAGAAAACTGATATTTTGTTCACATTGAGGTAAATCGAAACATAATTCCTTCGTTTTCTTCCATTTTGCAATTTTTAAAATGCAACGCAAATTTTTTGGCTATTTATAAGGACAAATCTTGATTTTAGAAAGAAATTAAACGACTAAAATATAATTGACAAATAACATTATGTCAACATTATGTAACATTATGTAACATAATTCAAAAATACAAAAATTATTATATACCTAATTACTTTTCAATTTTTCATGTTCTTTTTTTTTTTAATAAGAATGCTTTAAATCTTTATAGAAGATATAAAACAGTATAAAAGTAGTTAAATTATTTTATTCGTGTGATTAAATTCTCAAATATTCCTAAATCTATCAATAAATCAAAGCTAATCGTTTTTATACTTTGCTTTGTGTGAAATACTTATAGAATTAGGAATTTTTTTCAACTACTTTATGTGTTATCGGTTTATTGTATTAATAAACAAGTGTAATTATGTTACAAATGTAATTATTTCGAGTAAATTCTATATATTGTATATCGCAATCTTCTGATTTTTTCTAACAATAAGTCTGATCAAACCAAGATTCTATTATAATCTGTCTAGAATCAATAAAGAACAAGAAAAGCTTAATGATAATTCTACAATGTGCTCTTTGTTTCCTATTATGTTTCTTGCTGTTTGTCTCTTGTCTTTTAGTCAAAAAGGTAAGAGTGGGCAAGAGACAAACAGCAAGAAACATAATATGAAACAAAGAGCACATTATAGAATTACCATTATTCTTGTCAAATTTCTCAGACAATTCGACGTTATAATCAATAAATCATGATTTATGAAGCACTCTACAGGACAACATTGAAATCCGGGTTAATCCGAATTATATCATAAATTAATATTCTGTTCTTAAGTCAGAAGAGAAACAGAAGAGAAAATTACAAAATATTCGGTGTTTTTGCATCAGTTGGTTAGCGATCGGGTCGAATGCCATTTGAGAAAATCTATATTCTTGCATGTCTGGCTCACACAAAGATTGTTTGCATGCGACTGTAAGAAAATGCTAATCTCGACACGATATATACAGTTGATGTCCTAGATTGCGCCTACAAGTCTTTTGCTCCTTATGCCATGGGTAGGATCGTAGGAAATTATCGAAGGAAATGGGCAAGAATAGTGTAAAATGTTTTGAGCGTTTTGAGTTATTTGTTGTGTAATTTATCAGGCAGGTTTAAATGCACAAGAAGCACTAGTCTGACAATAACATAATTTGCCAAGCATATTACCCACACAGCATAGAATATTTATAATAAATGTTTATTGCTATTCATTTTTCTAAATGTTATATAAATATTTTTTATATTTTTTTTATATATAACTTTATTTGAAAAATTATTAAAATATAGACTAAATATTTTATGTAATATTTATGATAAATATAAATAAATATTTTTAATAAATATTTTTTACTTGGATTGTATTGTCCTAAGTATTTTTTTAGCATTTACTACAACATTTACAATAAATATTTTATAATGTTTATATAATAATATATATATATGTATATATGTATATATATATATATGATCTGTGCAATCTAATACCACAAAAATATTTAAAATAAATTTTATAAATATTTACCAATATTTTGTAAATATTTTATAAATATTGTGTGTTGTCTGGGTATTCAATCTTGAAATAAATAAATGCAAGTTTCAATGATCTATAGATATCGCAACTGTACGATGTTTAATCGTGATTAGAAGTAACATAAAAATATAATATTATATAGAAATAGATCTTTCTACCATTAGAAGTGACAGAAATACGATATATATTATGTAGAAATAGATCTTTCTACCATCTGAATATATAGAAATAGATCTTTCTACCATCTGAATGGTAGAAAGATCTATTTCTATCGAGTCTTGCGGCAGAATATGTACTATCAAATATTCATTCTACCGTAGAGTCAATACTTGGGATAACTCGTGCCAAGTATTTATTTGTACCTTGCAACAAGAGAAAGTTTTCTAAAGGCACTTCTCTCTCTTACTTTGCATTATAAGTTATATTATGAACACGGCTTCTCGTATCATTTTACAGTTTCAAATTTTATAGATTTTCTGCAAAGTCATTAACTAAGCTTTTAAGTCTTAAATTATAAGAAATTCGATCAATCATAATCGATTATTTTTCTCACATTCGACTGTGATTGATTAATGTCTTATGATTTAAGACTTAAAATTTAGGTAATGCATGGTAATTGTAGAAAGTCTATAACAATAAATCTTAGTTAAAAGTTATATAAGCATACGAGTGCAAATTAATAATTTAAATTTACGTAAAAATATTTTTGATTATAATTTAATTATAACAAAGGGCTAAGTTTATTTATGAGTAAAAATTCTATAATTCTTTATCGCGTTTATCACCTTTATTTACAAATTTGCATGAAGCGAAAAATATGTTATAATAGTGTTTTTCATTTGCAGAACTGGTGCGCACTCAGTGCATATTAAATTATAAGTTATACACTACTCTAATCTGAATGTAAAAGTGAAATATCTGAATTAATAAAATGTTCCATATATGTATATATTTTATTTTATTAAATAATCCAATATAAAATGTATTAAAAATTTCGCGGTTTAATTTGCAATTCTATATTTTCATTAAACATATATCCTTTCATCGATTTGTGTATCACGGTTTTAAAGTACATGCACTGAGTGCGCATTAGCCCGGCCAAGCAAAAAACGTTATTAGCCTTCGTAAAATATGCACTTATTCTTTACGATCTAATCATGTCAAATAAAAGAGCACAAATTGATAATTTCTTGTGGCAATTGTTATAATAATATATATCAGATAGTCCATCCAGAAGTTGAATTTAACGATACGAGATTTTATTTTCGCGAGACTAACTTCTTTCGTTTTTTACGAAATTCTAAAATTATTCTAACATATCCAATTCACATTTTACTTAGAAAATTTGTTGAATAATTTTGAATGATTTTGAATTTTGTGAGTCTAATTTTTATGAACTTTTAATATTAATTGCATTGCACGATTACAGTGAATACAAAGAAATATGCAAGGCTGCCGATCCCAGCGGCGCATAAATACGCCCTCTTTATAACGCTCAAGTCCATTATGTATAATAAGCGACACGAGTAATTAAAAAATTGTTAAGTATCTCAATAGTGAACATGAATCGATACATAACTTTAAACCAGTTGGGTGACGGAACCTTTGGTTCTGTCGTACTGGGAGAACGTATCGACACGGGTGAAAAAGTGGCTATAAAAAGAATGAAGAGAAAATATTACTCTTGGGAAGAAGCTATGAATCTGCGAGAAGTAAAGGTATGTTCAAATTAGGTAAATAATTAAAAAAAATCTATTCTCTGAAAATCATAACAAGACATGAGCAGTATAAGGATTTAACAATAAACGCAATGTTGTGCTATATATATGTATACAGGGAGGGGAAATAGTAAGTTACTTTTTGAAAGTAATGAATTACAGTTACTCATTACCGAATAGGAAAAGTAATAATAAATTACCTTTATTAATTACCGATTTTTAAAAGTAATTTGTTACAGATATCGTTACTTGAAAAAGTAACTTTCGTTATGTTATACAAAATGTTTTTTTTTGTTTTTCTTGGTTAACATCTGCCAGGTTAAATCAATAATTAATTTTCTTTCTCATTTCATTGCAGTCATTGAAAAAACTTAGTCACGCAAACGTGGTGAAACTTAAAGAAGTTATACGAGAGAATGATGTACTGTATTTCGTTTTTGAATACATGAAAGAAAATCTCTATCAACTAATGAAAGACAGGTACATGTCTATAGCAATTTGTATTCTATGTATAAATATTATTAGTAATTGTATCTTATTTGAGATGTTTTCAATTACAGAGATAAACTTTTTCCCGAGCCAGTAATAAGAAATATGGTGTATCAAGTATTGCAAGGTCTCGCTTTTATGCACAAACATGGTTTCTTTCATCGCGACATGAAGCCAGAAAATTTATTATGTATGGGTCCCGAATTAGTAAAGATTGCTGATTTCGGGCTAGCAAGAGAGATCCGATCAAGACCTCCATATACAGATTACGTATCAACAAGATGGTAATGATTGTATAACTAGTCGCAATTCGTAAACATTAGTTGATAATGAAGAAATTTGATGCAATAATAATTTGCAACTATTTGATTAATCTACTTGATTTCTGTATTAGGTATCGGGCACCAGAAGTGTTACTACACTCCACAACTTACAACAGTCCGATTGATATTTGGGCGGTCGGCTGTATAATGGCTGAATTATACACGTTTAGGCCACTGTTTCCTGGTAAAAGTGAGATTGACGAAATATTTAAAATTTGTTCTGTAATTGGAACACCCGATAAAGATGATTGGCCAGAAGGGTACCAGCTGGCTGCAGCTATGAATTTCAAATTTCCGAATTTTACGCGTACATCATTGACTGTATTAATACCCAATGCTAGTCAAGAAGCAGTTATACTCATGGAAGACATGTTACAATGGAATCCTATAAAGAGACCAACGGCGCAACAATCGCTCAGGTACTTATAAACTTACACACACACACACACACAAATACATAATAATAATTTAATACAATAATATATACATATATGTATTATTCACAGAGCTGCTCTGAGAAGTCGGCACCCCTAAATGCGAATTTTGGTAAAATCATTATTGCATTCGTTTGTCCACTGTTTGTCCACGTTTGTCCACCCATTATTTTCGTTTGTCCACCCTCCCAAAAAAAGTTATACACAAAAAAAATTGTAGTACCCCCAAGTAATTATTTTTCATTATTATGAAAAATATAATAAAAATAGGGTGGACAAACGAAAATAATGGGTGGACAAACGTGGACAAACAGTGGACAAACGAATGCAATAATGATTTTACCAAAATTCGCATTTAGGAGTGCCGACTTCACAGAGCAGCTCTGTGAAGTTAGCAAAAAATTTGTGCAAATATTTCTGACAATGAGACGAAAGAACGCATTGATATATTTCTAAGACATCTGTGTTAGATTTCTTACAAAATATTTTGTAGAAATTTCTCTAAAAGAATCCTGAATTGTTAGAGGCTGTCCAATAGTGATTATTGTCATGGATGATTCCAGGTATCCATATTTTCAAGTCGGCGACCCACTTATTATTAATAGTAAAAAAATTGGTGTCGTATCTCAACGAGAACTTATTATGAACAAAATAAATCTTCCACCTCCTATGCCTAACCAGTATGATTATACTCAAGAAGACCCAGTCATTAATAGCTTGATGCAATCGAGGTAATATTACATTTTACTGCGTTATATTTAAATATATGAGAATTTATATACTTTTAGAAGAAACTCGTGATAAACATAATTTCGTAAATTCTTTTCAATTAATTTCATTAAATTACGAATTAAAATTAAATATTTGCAGAGCACCAGAAAAGATGCTCGTTGAATCACAACAGCAGCCAGCGGCCTTGCCATTACTGAATCACAATAATCATAAGCACGATAGCAACGCCTCTAAATGGGACGAGGACGATTTTGCAGATCTTCTAGGGTGCGTTACACATGACTTCTTTATACAATCTTTCATTAGGTATATCATTCTCCAATTAGTTCTCTAATTTTCTAATTTAATCGTCTGATTATACATATCAGAAGCAAAATTGTCCCAGAGAATCCAAGCGCAACGCTCATCTCAGATCGCGTATACAAAGAAAATCGTGCCAATTGGAATGCCAATTATCAGCAGTCTGAAAGTTTGCATAGCAATGCGAATTGGTCCTTACCAACATGGAAGGAATCACCACAGAGAATATGGAATCAGTCTAATCAGTCTAATCAGATGAAGAACTCACGTAAGGTCTCAGCAAAACAACACTATCTCAGTGTGGCTCGGTACGTCGCAGGCCAGAGCACAAATTTGCCATCCAGGTATATAAAATTCCGCGGAAAGCCATTCCAAAGAAGTCTTATCGCGATGTTAATAATCGGATTTTTGATACATATTCTTTTAATACAATTACAAATGTTTTTCTCGAGCACTTAATAAGTATGCTCTAATTTATATCATTTGAAAAGAATCACTGTTATATAAGATGATTTTATAATGTGATTGTTTACAAATCGATTTATATTTTGATTAATACTGTACATGATTTAGTTGTTGTATTATCAAAAATGTCCATCTTATTTTCATTAAATCTTCTTAAATATCTCTGAACTTATTGGATCAATTTGCCCTTGGATCATTCTTCATATTGCATGTCTCTTATATCTATGTCGAGCATTATTGATTAATTTAGTTGAATATCTCATCGAAGGTTTTTTGATAATAGCAGATTTGCTAGACAAAAGTATACGATCTCTTGAGCTATGTATGATATATATATATATATTACAATATATTTTGGCAATTATTGTTTCGATTATTCAAATTTCGGCAACATGCTGGTTACATTCATTGGATGGTGATAAATGTATACTGAATGGAACAATTTTTCAAAACTATTACGCACAAATAAAATGACAAATGTATATTTTAAAATTGTACTAGATCCTTGTAGTCCCTTGTAAATTAAAAATTGTCAATAAACTATCCATATGTCTTTATCAAGTGTATGCAACTTTTTTATCGTATATCGTTCAAAGTAATACTTCTCTCTATTCATTTTCAAGAAATGAGGATTCTGATATCAGCCGATCCAAACTGCTATTGAATGGATTTATCGGTCAGGCAACATCCAACAAATATGAAGATTTTACAGAATCTTTTTGGGGGCCTAGAAATAATATTGAGAATCAAACGAGGCAACATTATCTTGCGCGAAACCGTTATATCACCGAACAAAACATGAAATTACCTTACCCCAGCGTGTATGGTACTCAAAATATCAGTGAGTATTTATGAGAATTTATATCAATACATTGCTACTGCATTCTCATTAAAAAAAAAAATGTAATTTTTGTATTAATCTAATATTACAATATCATAATTATTCCCTTCTATTCCAGAAGAATAATATCTATTTTGAATACACATTTTAAAACAAGAATGCAAATGCTATATTTTATTTGCAAATAGAAACAATTAATAGGTTTACGATAATATCGCAGTTTTAATATATAATATTTCTTTTCAATAGAGCCTATCAATAAGCCCATGTTTCAACCAAACTTGTTTGGAAATGTTTTCAACTCAAAAGCCAGCAATGGGCCTCACAGTCGAACAGATTGGGCAGCGAAATACCTCAAATGACCGTTGTAGAGAGGTTTGTTCTTCTTTTCAATTCAATAATTTTTCATCATTGTGGCCTTGTTTTCTAGGCGAATTTTAACTGTGATAGAACGATTGTTGTCGTTCCATTGTGACACACAAATAAGAAGAAAAACGCGTTTTTTTCCATGATAAGATATCACGAAAATAAAATCGCACTTTAATTATGGTGACATGTCAAATGGAAGAATGGAATCGTCGCGATGTTATTAAACGCAGAATTTTCATATGATCAAGAGAAGTTCTAGAGATGATTATATAGATTACTTACAAGTCATCCATGTTAGTTGATCATGTATGAAAAAAAGATTAATTTTCTGAAAAACTAATAACTTCGAAACCGATGATGTATATAGAATATATAGATCTATAAGAGGTACATTAGATACTATACATATACGTACACAGATTACATATACATACATATATATGTACATATATATACATACACAGGGTATTCCATTTATCACTCATATATGTATTATTTATCTATATATGTATGTATACATACATACATTGTTTGTATATATTAATTAATTATATGCGGCGTAATTTCTTTGCAACATTAATTCATCATATTATAGTAATACACTTTTTGAGAATTACATTCTGAATTACAGAACAGTCGTAAAGTCAGATTCAATCGGTACATTTATTTAGAATCAATGTCAAGGTCTTACGCCGTATATCATATCTGATAAAATGTACGCAATTATTAACGTTATTAGAATAAAAAATGTATAACAAATAATGCACACATTCCGTATTCCATACATATGAACATGCAACGTATACTTATACGTTATATTTTATTACTCTATACTTATCTACTGGATTACTACTTTCAAAAAACATCAATATGATTTTTGTATTGATTCGACCGAGTAAACTGACACATATAGCAAAAACTTGCTGTAAATAACATAATAAAAACAACTTAAAAGGTAAGTGCAATTGTATTTTAAATTAATTAAAAATATAAAGTACTGATGTAATATAAATGAATAAAATAGCATAAAACAGAATTTTATTTTTACTTTAGCATGTTTACAGGCCAAGAAGGGGGAGACTTGGTTTACAATTTTTTCCTAACTCATTCATCCATCTATTATACATTTTTCGTTGACTTTTTATTTGTCTATTCTTCCTAATAATTTTCCTAATAAAAAGGAAAATTTATCTGGTACGATAAGACATTAGCAGATTGGAAATAAGCATATAACGGATTTATATTACTCATTCCCATAATGCATAACATGTACAAATATACATATAAATGAACAAATACGTGAATGTTAAATAAATTATTTCTATAACATAAATTTAATAGAAAATAAAGCTAGGAAACACATAAAAAATCATAAATAAGATTTAAACAATAAGCAACAAAATCGATCAATTACAATAAAAAAAAAGTAGTTAGCTGATTTAAGCGGGGCCACAGACTCTTGCGTAACACATAAGACATAAAAAATACAATCAATTAAAATTCTTTATTTCATGGAAAGGAAGGAAATGAAGAGCTTTAATTGGTAAATTTTCTTATGCTTTACATGTAATGCATTATGCAAAAGTCTGTGCTCCCTGTCTTACTCACTGCTTTATATCTTACTGCTATGTTTTTTGTGTTTCTATCTTAAGGATAATAAAGTATTCACAAAAAATGTACAGACTATTTTGTTACAAATATCTATATTAAAACAATTGAATAAAAATATACTGAAGAATGTTATATTATTACTCATATTTAAAAAAAATTGTGAATAATGCAAAACAATTCCACATATTATTTTTATACTAAATACGAAATATATATATGTATAATAATCAAAGAGAAGAAATTGATTCTTAAAGTAAGCAATACATTTAATGAAATTATAAACTATCTTGCTTGAGCATTCATTGCTTCTCTCCGTGCTGCTTCAGTTAAGAGATGGATGTCTACCTCATCTACTGAAAGTTGTACGTATCACACCACAGATCCACGGATAAAACAATTTTTTACAGACAACTGCAATTTAATATATTGGGTGGATCGATATATTCGTTCGGTTTTTGAAGGCTAAAATGAAACTTTTTTTTTTTTTCATACAAAGGATAAATTTTAATCAATGATATATTCTCCGTTTTTATTGATGACCTCTTGCCATCTTTCCAACAATTTCATTATTCCGCTCTCATAGAAGGTCTGGGGCTTAGAAGCGAAAAACCGGTCGAGGTACGTTTTCACAGCTGTCTGATCAGCGAACGATTTCCCGTTGAGGGAGTTTTGCAGGGACCGGAATAAGTGGTAATGGAATTTTCAACCCGCTTGCCTAGTCGTCGAAAAGTGCAAAATGACGAACAAATGACCTGAGCCCTCAGGCAAGCTCCCACTGTCCCACTACGATGCCCTTCTGACGACCAGTAGTAGGTGCCGAGACGCCCGCCATAAGGAATTAAGGAGTCTTAACTCGGACCGAGTTCTAGCATCGTGGACACAAGGCTTAACCAATGATAAAGATGGAATAATAATTATAAGCGCTTAAAGTGCATGAGCGTACACACCGAAAGCAACCTTAATAAAAAATACACGCGTAATTTTTTTTCTTGACATTACTATGAATATTGATAAATTGCTGAAATAACGTTACTTTCTTAAAATTATAAACAATAAAAGAAAAGAATCTTTGTATGACTTCCAACAAGCGACACAGTATGCAACATAATGATCATCTCATTCTTGTTTAACATTGGCGAACAAGGACGTACCGATACACTGTGTCACACCGTGTCATCTGTGCCGCTTGTTGGAAGGCATCCTTTATTATGAAATCGATACTATCATTTATGTATCTTCAGAAAAAGCTATCGTATATTATAAATATAGTATGCTCATTTACAGAGTATTGCAAAATTATATAATAAAAATCTTGAATTTAATAATATATTATTCAATTATTTATATTAATAATCGTAAATTTATATCAATTGTTGATATCTTTACGTGTTTTTCGATCAATTACTTCGGAGCCCTTTTTGTAAAGACAAAAATTTACCCATCTGGGTTAACGCTCTTTAAGGGTACGCATAGTGTGTTTAATAATATTAAATCTACAAAGTGCTAAAAAACACTTATATGCGCTTTTTTTATGCTTTGTTAATGCTTTGTAGACGCTAGTGTGTACTACATGTGGGAAGATATTTTTCACCTTGCAAAACCTAAACATTAAATGAAACAAATGGAAAAGGAGATACATTAAGAGCGTGGTTATTTCAATTCACTCTCTATGTATTATAATACATATGAATTTCCAGAAAGGATTGATACGTCGACAATTACATATATTAATAGTACGAATGCGGGTATACAATCTAGTAAATAAAAATCAATCAAAATGGATTGAAAATTCATTTCAACGCTCACGAATACTTGTGAAAATCTGAATTTACTTCAATGCCCAATGCATCATCATTACTTATTTAGAGAAGTTGCATCCAGCATATTTTTTATGTCTATTACAAAAATTGAGCTTTTAAAAATAAATATTGCTCAATTCAAAATTCTGTGGAGGAAATGTTTTTTTTTCAATCCACACACAATTGAATTAAAAAATTTTTTCCACTTAAAATACACATTCAGATAGTTTAAAAATTCCAATCCCCATTATAATATTCGATCTATTCTCGTTTATACTGGTAATAAATCATTACTACGATTTGTCTTGCATATATAGAGTAATTAATCTCAGAGAAGTTATGTTCGTGGTGTTGATTCTCATAAATGTTTCCTTTACAGGCATACGCCTTTGTTATGGATTGAGAAAAAAAGAAATTGAGATATATTTGATGTCGATATATGATCAAGTATATTATACGTTTTTCCATTGTATTAGCTAACTACGTTTTAACTTTACACAAACTTTGATTACAATTTCCTACATAACACCGATATGTTTTGAGCAGATAACGCGAATAACGAAGCTAGACCTACATTTTGTAACTCGTTATGCAGTTATTATGTATTCATAAAGATAGTTGCACACATCTTTTTTTACTATAGAATATAATAAATAAAATATATGCTCAACTGTATCGTTATTAGCACATAAAAATTGTATAACAAAAGTTACAGAATATAGGGCTGGAAGGATAAAAGAGGGGACGTTGTGTAATTATTTCTCTCTTTCGTTAAATCTGGACGTATCATAAATATCTTAAATCACATTCACATTCACTAGATGAGTGCTAATAACATATAATTGTGTTTATAGTTATAGATATTCATATGCATCACAAATAGAGATGCAAAATTACTGTCAAATTCAATTTTACAATTACTTATGGTAAAATGGTAATTTATTGGTAATTTTGACAAAATTGTTGTTTCTTATAGTTTTATGTATAAATAGACTGTATTTTCGTACTTATACATAATTAAATGAAAAATTACAGTCATTCAATATTCCTAATAGGAATCTTTAATAGAATAATAGGGCTATTGACTAAATCTAAATGTACCATACTGAAAAAAATTACGTCACAATTATATAATATTATATTATATTTTTGTTTAATATATATAATTATATTTTTGTTTTTACTCTAATAAAAACTGTCTTTGACAGTCGCTAAATAGCAAGCAAATAAAATTGTTATAAGTTTATAAGGTATGAAAAATATGGTTTAAGACTACTGTACCTGTCACACTTTTTGCTTTAAAAATTTTAATAAAAAATTTATTTGAAGTTTTTCTGGTTACTACGTACCTATATAGTTTCTTAATTATTATTATATCAATGTGTAGTATAAAAATGAAAATTTTAATTAAAGTGTTTTTAAACTTTTTAACTTAATGACTAAATACTCTTATATATCAAATTACGTAATTTTTTTAAATTATCATTTTACCATAAATTATTGACTAATTTACAGTAAATTACTGAGTAAATATTATCGTAAAATTTGATCATTTTTATCTCAAATGATCTGTAAATAACCGC